TTGCTGCATTGTTCCCATATTAACGGCCAGCGCTCGAATCATGTCTTCGGTGGACATACTCGAGTTCGATGTTTGGCCTTGGGGTTTGTATTGTTGAGGAGGAGGATTTGTTTGAGAATTTCCGTACCTAAAATTCGGATGATCCCTCCATCCCGGGTTGTAAGTATTTCCTTAAGGATCGTACCTCCTTTGACCTTGGAACCCCAAAGCATTGACTTGCTCGGAGTTCTCTTCTTGTAGTGTCGGGCAAGAATCTGTGGGATGCCCTTGCGTTGAACAGATGCCGCAGACCTTGACTTCTTGGGTTTTTGGATTTAAAAGGAAATCTTTAACCAAAGAAGTCAAGCCAGCTACTTGACTTTCCAACGAATTGTTGGATTCCGCTGCCATGACTCGTTTCGATGATGACCTTCCGTTGTAATGTCTCGAATTTTCGGCCAACTCCGAAATGAGGTCTCTTGCTTGAGAAGGGGTTTTGTTGACAATACCCCCTCCGCATGCCGCATTCACCATGCGTCTATCTTGATCAACAAGTCCATCATAGAAGTAGAGAATGAGATCTTGTTCTGAATATCCATGATATGGGCAACTAGCACATAATTTTTTAAAGCGCTCCCAATATTCATACAAGGTCTCATTTTCTGCTTGTTCAATGTTGCTGATTTGCTTCTTGAGACTTGAAGAGATAGATGAGGGATAGTACCTGTCAAGGAAGCTCTTTTTCATTTAAGCCCATGTATTGATGCTCCCCGAGGGAAGATAAAATAACCAATCTTTGGCGGTGTCTTTGAGAGAGAATGTGAAGGCTCTCAGCTTGATTTGCTCCTCGGACACGCCATTGGGGCACATGCTTGTGCACACAATATGGAACTCCGACAAGTGTTTATTTGGATCTTCCCCTCGTAATCCATGGAAAGAGGGAAGTAGATGAATGAGCCCAGATTTTCGCTCGAATGTGACCCCCGTATCAAGAGTTGGAAAAGTGATACATAAGGGTTGTTGATTTAGATTCGGAGCCGTTAGCTCCCTCAACGTTCTTGTTTCAAGAGCCATGTGAAAGGACTCTTCGGATTCGCTAGAATGAGAACTAACACTTGATGATTCCTCCGAAGAAGTATTCGGAAATAGATTCCTGAACCTCTCGAAGGCTTGTTCTGTTTCGGACTTTATTTGGTAGGTGATTTGGTTTATAGATCGGTGTTTAACCATATACTCAAACAAAACTCAGCCAAAATAGAAATCTTTATATATAATTTTTTTTTTTATTTTTCTTGAAATAAAATAAAAAGAAAAATTAATTGCCTTTCCCCGGCAACGGCGCCAAATTTGACGTGCACTTGTCGTGAGGTGCACTCAAAATAATTTTCAATACTAAACACTTATACGTAGTATAGCGTAGTAGAGTTCGTATCCACAGGGAAAGGAATAATTCTCTTTTTATGATACTTAGTAAATAAAAAGGGGGGATTTAGATTGAGTGATTTAATTTAATTAAGAACTAAGATGAACAACCTATATGTGTTTAATTGAAAGATAAAAAGGACTTGGCATTGCCACTTTCCACTTGTTGATATATTTTAGTCGATCATTGTTATATCTATAACTTATTCCCTCTCGAATACTCAATCGAAGAGTATATCCACTTCATCGAGGGTAGTTATTAACAACAACCGTTCATTAATAACCCTTACTATTAATCAAATATAGAACAACGCCTTATACCGATTTAATAGTAGCATTTAATCTTTCTAACTCCTTGATGAAATCAATTGAGATTGATAACCTCAACACAAGCGATTTCGGTTTAACCAACAAAATTAATCCCTCTTAAGTTTATTAATCACGACCGTGCATTAATAAACCGAAGTTACTTACTTGTGAAACCATCAACGATTAACCATCGGTTCGTCGATCGTTTCTAGTAATAACTAATATATGAAACAAAACTAGTTGATCCTTTAAGTAATGTTCAAAATATTAATATGAAATATGAGTAGGGATTAATTAATATTCAAGGAAGAATATTATTAAAGAAGATGAATCCTACTATAATTAATATCAAGATGTTAACTAATTGTCATCTTAGCAACACTCCCCAATATTAATATAGAGGAAGAAAATATCATTCTAACTAATGTCGAGATGTTAACTAATTGTCATCTTAGCAACACTCCTCAACATCAATATAGAGATGGTATTAAGGAAAGAACTATTAATTAATATTCAAGGAAAGAAATTAAGAAAATAACTCACAACTTTATTAATCAACAAACTTCAAGAGCAACATCAAGAATGGAAGTTTAGCTCCTCATTTGGAGACTAAACATAGCTAGAAAAATATAAAGAAATGCTATTCTAAACTGAGCTTAAGAGTATGGAAGAAGGGATTATTTTTGTGAAGAAAAAGTGTGCTATTTATAGGTGTTTTTCAACACCTTTGGCCGGGTACCCGACCGGGTCAAGTACTCACCCGACCGGGTCCATGTCAAAATCAAATATCCTCCACGTTATGGCGATCTTTAGCATGTTAAAGTGTCCGGGTCAAGTCAGACCCGACCGGGTGGGGTAGGGGACCCAACCGGGTGAGTGAAAAAATTGGATATTCTTCACGTTCGGGTGATCTTTGCACACCGGGTTGTCCCGGTCACTTCTCACCCGACCGGGTGAGGTAGTGGGCCCGACCGGGCCATGCGTTTTCTTTGCATTTTCGTTTTTCACTTCTTACCCGACCGGGTCAAGTATTATACCCGGTCGGGTGTTTGCTTCTGGGCAGCCAAATCTTCTTTTTTCTTCACTTCAAAGTCTTCCTTTCCAACACCACAAATCCTAACTAAACTTTACAACTTACAAATAAAGACTAAAATACAATTACAATTGAAATCACACAAATGTTTACAAACTAAATAAAACGTCAAACAATTAACATAAATCAAACATAAAAACATGTAATTATGCACTACTAATTAGTGTGCATCAGTGATTGTAACATTTGAGATTAATTTAAAAATATTAATAGTACTAAAAAGCAATTTGTGCGTACTAGTCTTCAGCTGGCGGATATATTTACTAAAAGTGTAAAAAGCAATTTCATTTTTTAAAAGGTAATATGCGCGTTGTATCTCCCGCACAGTTTGAGGGGGTGTAATAGCCTAATATTAAATTAGGAATACTTTGTATTTTTGGTAACCCTCATTATTATAAATATATCTGTCAGGGCTCTCATTGGGGGTAACCCTTCCAATTATTTCACACTAAACAATAACAAAGTCATAGGAAACAACTACAAAGAAAGCAGATGCTACTAAAAACAATTTCATAACAGTTTTAGCTAGTGGTGGAGGTTGGACATATGGCGAGGACGTTGCTGGGATATTGAGATTTCAAGAAGTGAATCTCAATTTGCTCTTTTAGCTAAACCTTCAACTACTTTGGTCCCTTATCTCATGAAATGTTGAATCCCAAGGATTGAACCCTTCTTCAACGATAGTGATTGATTCTAGACAGGGTCGGTCCCGAGAAAACGGAGACCTTGTGCAACAATAAAATTTGGGTCTTTTTCAAGTTGCAACACAAGCAAATTATCTTAAAATACAAGTTATTAATAAACGTATTGATTAAAATGAAAAAAGTCATTAATAACATAAAGTTTATTTAGAAAGAGACATTTTCGAGCATATTTAGATGCAAAGTCATCTACCAAACTTGCAATGTCAATTTCTTCGAGTGTTTTAGAATTACACATTTATTATCAATTTAAAATTTCAAATAATGATTTACTTTAACTGCAAAAAAACAACAAACACAGACAATGCAACAATTCATTAAAAATAAACAAATTACAAGAATTCAACAAACAATTCATGAATTTATCAATTCAATAAATCAAAAGTTCATAAGAATTAGGAAGTTAGTAGTGGACTGACCGGACTTCTGGACGATTGGACTGAGGGAGGCGGCCAGGCGTGAGCTTGGTGGTCTGAGGGAGGCGGGCGGTCGTGCGGAGCTGTGGTTGTGGCGGCGGCGTGCGGTCGTGAGGGAGGCGGAGGCGTGCGCCGTGGCGGTGTGCGGTTGGACTGGAGAAGCCGGACGCGGAGCTGCGCTGCTGCGGAGTGCTTAGGTCGTCACTCTTGGGCGTGGGTTGCTGACTTGCTGCGCAGGGGAATAACCGAGGGGCGAGGGGTTGTCGTGCACTCGCGTGGAGCAGGGCCTGCAGGGAATAGATTTTGGATGAATGGATTGTTGGGCTAAAATTTAATGGGCTGAGTATAATACTAATTTTTTTGGGCCCTTAAATATTCTGGGCCCTATGCGGTTGGACAGGGCAGAGAGGCCCAGGGCCGACCCTGATTCTAGATTATTAATAAATGCCCTCCAACCTGATTTATCTTCAGGTAACTCGGTGATATTTTCTTCGGCAGTTGTGAAAATTATATCAGAACTCCGAGCTATTTCATCAGTTTCTGCTCCCAAGTCCCAAGCCAGGTTGTTCTCCTTTCCACGCTGCCCAGAGATAGTGGAGAGCTTGAGTGAAGCATTCCCTTTTTTCTATCAGGGAATGAAGAAGCAACATGTATGACTTAATCAATATTGTACCCTCTTTCTTCTTGAATGTTACATGAATTTTAAAACCACAGAACTGCCCTTTCTTATCCATCAAAACGCGATCAATATCTATTAGACATAACAAAAATTATTTTTCTGTTAGTTAGTTAAACATCTGTTTAGTTAAAGTCTGCTTTGCATTCTTCAATTACATTTGTGTATAAATACCCTTGCTCGATGTAATAGATTGTAATTTTTCCAATAATGAAATTCATTTCTAGTATTTTCTTTCTGTTCGCTAAGATGGTATCAGAGCACAAACACGATCTTTAGCTCTTTAGCTCCGTAATTAAATAATTTAAATATGAAAACGAATGATTTTAATTATCACTACACCATCTACACGTGTCACGTTTTTGCAAACAATATTTTGTAATCATAAGTTTGTAATTTGTTTCCCCCTTAAATACAAGCAAGTCACTGAAAAATTAATATGTTCCCACTATCAAGTATTAATATTACAATATTAAAGTCATAATATAATTGACAATATTTAGAAAGTATGATAATAATTTTTTTTTGAAAACAAATAACTTAATTATTATTAATGAAGATGACAAGAACAATTACAATCATAAAGCTCAAGGCTACAATGGGATGAGACATAAAAACGGACAATTCTAATCGAAAACGCTGAATCGCTAATTCCGCAAATAAGTAGACACTACCTGCAGATTGACTGCTCCTGCTACGATCACAATAATTATCAAAAGAACTCTTAAACATCCCGATTTCTCCAGCCACCGGTAAGGAGCCAACTGTAGAATTTGTTCCGGTTTCACCAGCCACCGAAAAGAAAGCAATCCAAATGATCTCATCTTCTTGAAACGGCGGTGGTTCAGGAGGGGGGCGATTCGTCTCAATATCGGCGCAGAAGAAAATCATGTTTTTGATTGATGAAGAGATTAGTGCAAATCTCTTCTTGGCACACAAAAACGCCCGACCGAAAGTGACGGGGAATATGGATTTGGCAGACGATATTTCGCTACCGAAAATAATAACTCCAAACAACGTTGGGAAAGAAACAGATGAATAAAACTGAAAACACAGATTAAGAAGATGTTTTTCTATTATTGAAATCAAAGAAGATTGAAAAAAGAGAAGAAAAGAAGAGAAAACGAGGAGGCGACGGCTAGGGTTTCCCCATGCCATTGACGCTTCTCTCTTTCTCAAAACATGACAATAATTACTTATTTATAAAAAATATAAGCATAGTGTTCATAATTTTGAATTTCACCTCATTTTTACTCATATATAGTGGAATTTTTAAAACTAGTTTTATACCATTATATAGAAGATTAAATAACACAAAATGAAACTTTACGTTTTCAAATCAAATGATACATGGGACAATTTGTACCACCTCCATGTGAAATCATTCCACCGGTGGGGTCTTGTAGGAGACTTTCATCTAAAGCTTTACCAAAAAGTAACCAACCCATTCTTGATTGACATGAACCAAATACTAATAACTCAGAAAAAATCGGTCCATGAACAAGAAGATTGTTGGGCAAGGTGATCATCATGGCATTCTTGATCCACCATTGGCTTCACCAACTTGGAAAGTTGATTCCAGGTCCTTTGCATCTTCCCTTTCTTGTGTTACTTTCTGCATGTCTTTATTCTTTCCCCATAGCAGAAAGTACAGCCCACTTATAACGATGACAGACCCTATTATACTGTCGGTCAAGGCAATAAAGCAGAATTAGAATAGGCCACCAAAGGTAACAAAATTGGTTCATTATAACAAAGATTAGGATCACCTTCCCATATGGAGTTGTTCATGCAGAACGGGAATGTCTATCATGGCTGCCACAACTTGCACCACAGGACTGAATGCTGCTGTGAAAACAGGCCCCCTCTTCTTGACACACCATGACATTCCCACAACGCATAAACCCGAACTAACAAACCCCTGCAATGTGTCCAAAAAGTTGTTTCGGGTGTGCAATATTGTGAGGACTGAACCATCTTGGCAAGTGATGGTTATAGTAGACTAGTGTCATATATGACTATACGTACGTTTAAATTTTGGATTCGGTCGGGAGAGGCAGTCTAGTAGGACATGCAAAGCGTGCTATAGCAACTCGGCCTACGGATTTAAAAGGCTTGAAAATATTGAAATTCTAAAGTTTATACACAATAAAAGTACATAGAAGGATGAAGATTCTTGAAACTGATGAAATCCTACTTGCATTCTACAATACTAGAAAAAACGCTTAATGAATTAGTGTTACTAGTCATTTAAAAGGACAGTTTAGATAAAGTAGGCTATCGAGAATTCGAAAATGAAGTTAATTCGGAATATGCTAGTAGAATACCTCTTTTTCATATGAAGGTTTATTAAGAAGAGAAATGAAATACAGAGTATTTCAAACTTTGGTGCTTTATTTTACAAAAATACAATAACATCTTCAAACATATTTACCCTAGAAACGCCTATTTTCATCATTAGTACCAGACCTCGTAAACGTCCCTGCGAAGAAATAGCATCTCGTTGAAGCTGTTAATCTTGATGTTTGTGTATACATTGTTGATGCTTACCATTTACCAAGAAGCTCCAATATGATATTAAGAAGTGGTTATCCAATGACTAATTTTTATTATTGAATTTGGTAGATGTGAATGACTGAACAATCACTTATAAAAAACAAAACAGAAAAGAGAAAAGCAAAGGTACCATCACTTACAGTGTATGTGACATGGACCATGTCAAACTTTTTCTTTGGAATCCAAATGGAAAGGCTTCTGTCAGTGCAAAAACTTAGGACAGCAGACTGTATTGCACTAAAGAAGTTCATGATGACAGTGCTAGAGTAGTGGCAAGGGTAGCTTTTGGAAACCTTTGACTGAATGAGGAACCATGACGACCATAACAGCGTCCCAGCAAACATTGCCACTGAACCCAATATCCATCTTTCCCCACGGGGCCTAGTGGTTTCTTGAGCAGAAGGACTTACGGCCGTTTCAGAGGGTGGTGGAAGTTTAACTAAAGGGATTCCTTTGTAGAAAGTCAGTAAAAGAGCACCTCCTAGACAGATTACTATACCAATCACCTTTGCTATCCCGCTGTTACTTCTGATGTTTATTGTCTCCAACCTGTGTCATTATCACTACTTGACTGATTTATCTTTGAACCATTCAATGAGGCTATGTTTAGATCCCCAAAAATGCTAGGGAAATGAAATTTGATAAGTGTCTTTAATATTTAACATATGTTTGTATTGCTTAGTATTTATTTATATAATAGAATATGAATCAATGAAATGAATTAGAAAAATAAATCTATTGTTTTGAACCAATATGTTGCTTTTCTCAATGTTTTCTCCACTTCAATTGAACTGAAACTGGGTAGTAGGGAAACGAGATGCATACCCGAAAGGCAATGCCATTAAAAATGTGACAACAGGAACCATGTTCAGAAAAGCACAAGCGTAAGTTGCAGACGTGTATTCCACGCCAACAAGGAACAAGTATTGAGTCACGGATGCCCTGCGAGATTCCAAACACGGAACTAACTAAGAATTCTGTTATGTCTAGTAGCTAGGATCATCCTAAAAGGTCACTCTTATTGAGGAGTAGCTCAGTAGCATGATGTTTTATATGTTAGCTTGTTTTATTTTATATGTCCACATATATATTACCCAAGCAAGTAGATGGGGAAACATGAGAGTTTACGATAATGCTTACCCAACAATTGCACAAACAAAAAGGTGACACAGAATGCGTGGGGTAAGTTTTGGTCTGGTATTCCTGTAAAAAAAATCATTGTTTGCCATAGGAGACAGGAATGTTGTAAGAAGAAGCATATAGTTAGCTACTGAGGTTTCAAAAAAGAATAAATATAGAGCAAAATGAGTGAAAAAACATCATACCTTTCTACAAATAAGGCAATGGGGGCTAAAAATATTGTTGAAATTGACTGCCGATAAGTGATGAAAACTAAATGGTTCAACCCATCAATGATAAGTTTCTTGAGAAGTACATTAGTAATGGCAAAGGCAAAAGTAATTGCTAGCATTAGCATAAAAGGGTACCAAGCCACACAACTCCCCATCTATTTGCCTTTGTTTAATAGAACTTACTGTCTTCCTTCAATAAATAATGAGGCCAAGTCAGGGCTTTGGAACCTCTATATAAACTTCTGCTTCTAGGGAAATAAGTGAGGAGTACTGTGACTATATGTGACTGACGTGGCAATAAATTCTTCCAATCAAATCAATGTTTTGAAACTCAACTTTTGACATCAGTCTAAAAGCATAGTCTCAGGCTTCTGCAATTCTTTTTTGCTGGGAAATGCCATTCTCACCCTTTTATGTGAAAAAGGATATTTTAAGGATCGGTGTCAGTCTGGTATTGACCCTTGAACTGCGGTCCTGGTGTGTGTTCTATCCTTATTGGCTGTAGAAGATTAGCTTATTGCAGACCATTTAACATGTGAGTCAATTACTTCAACATGCCAATCATTTTAAATATTTAATTATTATGGTCTTAATGGCATCTTCTGGGTGGGGGACAAAACACAACAGCCAACTGCACTTACTCTAATTTCCAATGCATGCACAGCATCTTACACATGATTCATTTTAGTATTATTTTGGCTAAAAAACTGTTTAGCATCTAATGCTACATGAGAACTAAATAGTAAAAGCATCTTCCTGGGAGGATATAAGAACACAGAACAATATATCAATATCATGCCTAGCCTAATAGCCTGGGGGTATGCAGGAAACATAGTAATAGTAATTCCATAAATGGGGAAACTATTTGTGCACTAACCAGCCACTATTCTTGGGTTCCAAGTATCATAACCAAACAAGTGTCAATGGAGATGTCTGTTCCTTTTTCACACCCTACTTTACCCCATAATAATAATCATGTGCTGAGGGATTAGTGATAGATGCAACTTTTTAAAATTTTTAGATCACATTCATAAATTTCTCACGTGTGGAAAATGGGAAGGCAATATTCTTTGTCATGTTATTATCCTGCTTACGATAAGGATCAGGTTTAAAAAAAATCAGTGACCATTACAAAAAATCAATGCCTTTGTGTTGTTAAAGTGTCATCAGGATATTGCATTTGGCCAAGTTGTAAAGAATGGGTGGACATCTACGAATATGCATCATACCTGCCCAACCTACCAGCAAGTTGTTCTATATTTCTATTACAATGTAAATCCTAGATTATAGGTGTATAACAACGACAACATCCGTAGTCGCAAAAAAGTTTGAGGTCGGGTAACATGCATCAGCACATAAGATCGGAGCTAAAGAGATAAGATACGATAAAAAAGATAAAAATATAAGATAAAAAGAATAAAAGGATGAAGAAAAGATGAAAAAGAGATCAATTAGATAATAGGCATCATTTTCCAAAAAATGTGCACCAGTAGCTTTAAACATCAAGTGATTAACTGTAAGCATTCTTTATTATTTTATATCATAACAATTCTCAAATATGATTTCCTTGACTCTTGACTCCCCTTGAGTCCGATTGAGCTGCAGCAAGGGTAGACCCCCCCCCCCCCCCCCCCCCCCCCCATAAATGAAGCACCTCAAGACACCTTAAATTTAATTAAATAGCCACAAGAGTAAACAGTTTTGTCAGTCTTCCTTGAGTTCCATCCTAAGCGGCACGGAATTGACACGGAATTTGGCACGGACTTACCGATTTTTCATGCCAAATAGCTCGTGACAAAATGTTTTTGGCACGGATTTGGCATATCCCTGCCAAAAACCCTGCCAAATCCCTGCCAAATCCCTGCCAAAATTCCTGTCAATCCCATATTTTTTTTTGTAGTGAATATGGATGGTATTGATAATAAAATTTACACATAGAATATAAGGTAAACACAGAAGGATGAATCCATGCCTTATTAAGTTCATTATAATTCACTGTCTGATCAACTATGCCCAGAGTTACAAATATTACAAGTATACTACAGATGGTGTGTCATCCTAAAGATACAGGTTGAATACATCGGTCATTGCTTTCTTCATTGCTTTACATGTCTAGTCCTTCTCATTATTGTGAAGCTACATTTTTGGCACCTTATTTGAGGGTCAAAAGTGTCATGACAAAATAGATAATTGAAAGGCCAAAATAGTTTTTCTAACAATAACCAAGGAAAAGTGAAAAGAATCAATGGCAGGTGTCAAAACTGTCTATTTCACAATGTAAGATGACTACGAGTTTTTTCTTTTTAATCGGTCCGAATAAAAAAACGGATCAAACCCGAAAATTCGGTCTCATAAACGGGCCCTAAAATATATAACCCGACCCTGACCGATAAAAACAAGAAACAATTAGTTTAATATAAAATCAATATAATATACGAACATAATTTATAAATAATTCCTAATATATTATTATAATCATGGCGAATGAAAATATGACTTAGTAACTTTTAGTGATTACAAATATGTTCGATTTGTTTACCGTAATGACCATGGAAATATGTTTATAATAAATTTAGTCACATTTTTATCCATAAGTTTTATTGTGTAATATTTTTTGAAAACCTAAACGATAGTATTATTTATTTATATGCATCTTAAACAAAATACTAAGATAAATATCTTCTTTGGATTTGAATTGTTGATGATTTTGAAGATTAATATTTGTGTTATTATTTTCGGTTTGTGTTTGTTTTTAGTTTAATTTGAAAATGTGTTTTAAAATATAAAAGGACAATAAGATGATTTCAATTCGGGCTTTACCCGGCCCAATCCGAACCCGGACCGAACCCGAGCTATCAAAATCAGACTCAGACCAAATATAATAGGCTTTGTTCTGGTCCCTAATTTTCATAAACCGAGACTTTTCAGATAATTTTCGGGTTTAGAAAAAATCTGACCCAGGAGTACAAAGAGGCTAGAAGAAGAGCAAAGAAAGCTGTGAAAGAAGCCAAAGAAAAAGTGAATAAGGAATTGTATGTAAAGTTGGATTCTAAGGAAAGAGAAAAAGATATCTACAGACTTGCTCGCCTTCGTGACCGTAGGACTCAAGATATCAGAAAAGTTAAGTGTGTGAAGGATGTCGATCAAAGGGTACTAATGAATGATGAAGAAATAAAAGAGAGGTGGAGGTCATACTTTGATACCTTGTTCAACGGGAATAAAGTTCAAGGTATTGATGATCTTACTATACCAAAGTGTATGGTAAATAGGGACTTTGTGAGAAGGATTCAAACAACAGAAGTTAAAGAAGCTATGAGAAAAATGGGCCGGAAGAAAGCAGTGGGCCCAGATGGCATACCGATCGAGGCTTGGAGAAGTTTGGGAGAGAAAGGCATCGAGTGGCTAACACGTTTCTTCAACATGATTTGGAGAAACAACAAAATGCCACTGAGTTGGTGGAAGAGTAATCTCATTCCCTTATTTTAAAATAATGGTGATGTGCAAGAATGTGCTAACTATCGAGGGATTAAGCTTATGAGTCACACCATGAAACTTTGGGAGCGAGTGGTTGAGCAAAGACTACGTAAAAGTGTGAAAATTTCGGAGAATCAATTTGGTTTTATGCCTGGACGCTCAACAACTGAGGTCATTCACCTTCTTAGACAAGTTGTGGAGAAGTATAGAGACACTAAAAAGGATCTGCATTTGGTGTTCATTGACTTAGAAAAGGCATATGATAGGGTACCTCGAGAAGTTCTTTGGTGGGCCTTAACTAGAAAAGGCATATCACGTAAGTATATCAGCATCATCATGGATATGTATGATGCTTGTACTACAAGTGTCCGCACTAGTGTAGGGAGGTCCACAGAGTTCCCTATTACTATTGGAGTGCACCAAGGATCTGCTCTGAGTCCTTTCTTATTTGCTTTAGTCATGGATGAACTTACGAAGTCAATTCAAGAAGATATACCGTGGTGCATGATGTTTGCCGACGATATTGTATTGATTGATGAGACACAATCCGGTGTTAAAGCAAAGTTGGAAGTATGACGACAAACATTGGAGAGCAAGAGTTTCAAACGGAGCCAAAGCAAGACTGAGTATATGGAGTGCAAGTTCGGTGGAGGTAGAAGCGGTAGCAACAGTGGGATTACTCTTGATGGTAAGGAGATACCGGTGTGTGATATGTTCCGTTACTTGGGATCCATAATTCAGAAGGATGGTGAATTAGATGGAGATGTATGTCCTAGAATCAGAGTGTAACACCGTCCCCAAATGTATTTATCTTTTAGCGAACAATTCATTGAACCCTATGAAATTTTTAGTGAATTTACGAGGTTGTGAATTTGTATTAATTTTTTCGCGTGAATAGTAAAATGCACGTGGGGCCCACATCGGGAGTGGGGACCGCCCGATATTATCGGGACCACATATCATATTCATCTGGGTCTAGAAAATATTTATAGATGGTGGATACTTCATTTGGGCCATGGAAAGGCCCAGAGTTGACCGATCGGTCAATAGAGGCCCAAATACCGGTATCGATAAATTTATCAGATAAAAGCCCGAAAGTGGATTTTGGAGATTTATAAATTAAAGTTGGGGAATGCATATTCATTCTAAATGTTATAATGATTAAGAACACGTAATATATTTATTTAACCCGATAAAATAAAATATATCTAAAACAGTCCGGAAAATACAACTTTCGGGGCAAATTGTACACTTTGGGACAAATTAGGATGACCTCCTGCAAGGGTGGGGGCCACCCCAAGAATTTGTCAACCTTTGGGGGCTGGATGAGGGCTAAGTTGGCTGAATAACAATTGATAGGATGGGGGAGACACCCTTTGACATTTGGTAGACCCCCTCCTTTCACTCATTTGTCTAAATGTGACAAAAACCACCCCTTTCACCTCACCACCTCCACCCACTCGTACCAACACCCTAATATAGCAAGGAGGAGCTCTGAAATTCACCATTTTCACACCCAAATTCGAGTTCAAGATAGAGGATCCAAGGAGGAGTGCTTGGAGAAGGAAAAAGGTGTAGGAAAGTGTGGAAATTGAGGTAATCACCTTGCCATAGCTTTCCCTTTATTCTTCTTCTACCATGAGGCATATTTATTATATGAAGAACCCTTGGGATGGTTCTCCATGTTCTAAGTATGGATTTATGGGTTGGAAAGTG